ACCCCGCCCCGGGCGTGGGAACACGGCGGGTACCGGGCCATTGCCCCCCAGGCTGCCTGGGCATCCCTCCCCGCCTCAAAAACAGGGTCAAGCAGAGCAAACAGAGACATCGAAAAAGAAATCATTGGCAGAGGGGGGATCCTCCAGTGCCCCTCGCTCCATGTTTATTTTCCCAGCTGCTGCCACTTTTGCAGACCCCCTCCCTGGTCCTCTTTTATTCCCACATTTCCATCCCTTTCCCCTGCACTCATTCCCTCTCTCCCTGCTCATGCTGTTGTTTTATCTTCCCTCTTCTTTTCTTTCTCCCTCTCATGCTTCTTCTTTCTACCCTCTTTCTAGCTTGTGTTCTCACACGTTTTGTAGAAAACATCACCTTCTATATTTTCCTGTGCTTTATTCTAGCAGCTTTTTGCCTCTCCAGCCTCAGGCCATTCTCCATGTCTCCTCTCCTTCTACTGTACCCTTTCTTGCTCCCATCCCCTCCTTCTGATCATCTTCCCCCACCGCTGAAAGGTCAATAAAGCCCATGAGGCAAAGCCTCCCTTCCTCTGCACGTCCCCTCAAGGTGCCACAACGTGTCACACCAACACTGACACCAGGACCCAGTGCTTGCACCACTGCCTCTGTGAGAAAGCAGACCTGGAGACCTCACAGCAAAACCAAACCCCATAAGAGCGTCTGTGTGTCGGTGGAGGCTGAGCACAAGACAGAACGACAGAGAAACCGGGCAGACAAACGAGGAGGTGAGATGTGGCCTGGGTTCCCCTGGACAGACGGAGAAGCGTGTGCATTGGGACAACAGGAAAGGAAGGAAAAGGCATTTCGTCACCTGGGAGATCATCTGACAGCTGGGCTGGGACTCCTCAAACCTCAGGCACTGCCCGGGGCTGGAGGGAGGGAAGGGTGTCCCACTGTGGCAGGACCCTGTGACCTCCCAGTGTGGCCCTGCTCCACTGTGGATCTCCCACATGAGCCAGGAGATCAATTCCCTGGCTGCTTTCTGCTGCTGGTGTCCCCCATGTAGGGGAACAGCAGCCCTCTTGCTTGTGCAGCACCCCAAAGATGGGGAGATGCTCCAATATCAGGGTGCTGGGGCAGCCGCGGGGCTCACGGGACTTGCTCAGCGCGGAGAGAAGCCCCAGTGTTACCTGGTGGGCTTTGCTTGGACCCGGCACCTGTGGGGGCTTTGCTTGGTTTTACCTGGGGATCCACAGTGAGACGAGGCATGGAGGAGGCCCTCCCAGAGACAGCGTGGTCCTGAGTGTCCACGGGAAGGTAGCTGCCACGGTTAGAGGGCTGCACTCTTTGAAACTCCCTAACCTCTGGCTCCTGGAAACAAACACACAGCCAAGCTCTTGGGATGGGGTTGGAGCAGGGCAGCATGCTGCTTCTGCCCCGTTTGCAGGAGACAGCCCTGCTCTCTCAACTGGGGGTGGAATTTAAGTGGGCCAAAAAGCAAGTCCAAGACGTATCATCCATCACTCTGCCACTAAAAAAATAATCCCCGATTCACAAGCCGCTGCAGGCGAGCCCAGCTGTGGTGCTCCAGGCTTGCCTGCTGGCCAATTCGTCTTGCACCTCTTCAGTGAGTGGGAACCCTGCCTGGATCCAGTGATGCCCTGACTGCCCAGGCTTCAAGGCCTTCTGCTTTTGCCAGAAGGGGACAAATGTATGGGATTTTCTCTCTGGCCCTGCTGTAAAGGTGTTCTGGCCACATCCCCATTAAAAGAAAGTATGGCAGCCATGGCACCTTTGCACTTTGGTTAATTCCCAGTTTAGGGGAGTCCCTTGATTTGGTGGTACAGGACGTGGTGTCAAGGAGCTGGGCAGGGAGTGACCCTTGAGATCTTGTACAAGGTGACTTTCTGGGGAGGGGTGGGTAGTCCCGTCTGCTGCTGCCCCACAGGCAGGATGGTGGCGTGGTCGGGGTGGCCGGGGCTGGATGCCCGCCGTCACGGTATACAGCTCACACAGACCCCGGGGACACGGACCGGGCTGGAGATGCACAGTGGTACAACGCTGCATCCGACAAGCGTCGGGGTGGTGCGCGAATGCACACACACAGACATGGAGAGATATATATAGATATGCATATATATATATACACACACAGACAGACACTGCTGCTGCCAGCCGGCATGTGTGTGCGGCCGGAGGGGTGTGCTCCCATTGGAGACAGTTTGACAGCTCGGTTTTGGACCAGGGACACCAGCACTGACAACAAAATGAACACGAATCCGAAAACATCAGATACCATCGTTCAGCATGGGGTAACCCACTGAAATGAGCGCTCAGTGGAAAAAAGAGCAGCCTGTGAAGAGAAGGATGTTTTACTGCACAACATCGGAGCCCGGTCACAGCTCTTGCCCCAGAAGAACTTGCTGCTGCCTAGCCCCACCAGCCATGGCTGGTCCAGGGATGGCTGTGTCCCCAGTGCCCGGACAGGTGAGGAGCCAGAGCCCCAGCTGAGGGACACACGGGGACGTTTGTCCCCTGCTCTGGTCCATGCGTGACCCAGTGGCTGCCTTCTCCCCGCTGTGCTCACTGCCACAAGGGCACGGAGCAGCGTTTCTCCTCCCCATGCCCACCAACGTCCTCGCCGGGACCACAAGCGAGCACCCGCCTGGCAGTGTGTGACTTTACCAGAGACTGGTGCTCATGGAACTGCCCGTGGGCCGGGTCCATGCATGCCAGCTGGAAGATCTCCTGCGGAGAGAGCGGGCTTAGCGAGGGGAACCCGCTCCGGCTGCTCCTGCAAAGACAGTCCAGCTTCAGGGAGGGCATGAGCCAGGTGCTGCCGCTGCTGGGCATTGCCTCTCCAGCAGCTCGGAGCTGAGGAGCCCCCATACTTGCCCCCCAGGCTGTCGAGACCCCCAGGACAAACATCACATTCCTTGGAGAGCTGAAGTGGTGCCCAGGCAGGAGAGGACACCAGTGACCCAGCTCCCCTGGCAGTGTTGGGGACATCCCAAGCGCAGTGCCAGCAACTCCCACCACCTGCTTCCCACCAGCCGGGGTGCTACGGGACCCTCCACCAAGCCTGCACCACCCAGCAACCTGCTGCTCAACTGCTCCCGAGGTTCAGGTCCATCCCAGACCCTCCTCAGTAAGAAAGCTTGCGCTTAGTGCTGGGACGGTCCTGCAAGAAGAGCATCCATGCAGACCCTGGCCATCCCCTGTAGCCACCTCTGCTGCAGTTAGCGATGCTGATGCACACCAGCTACCCAGGATTCTGCAAAACCTTTTTCCCAGGAGCTTTTTGCCCTGGACCACGTTTCCCCCACTCTCAGCAGCTCTTTAACCCTCTGTGCATCCCAGTGCCAGCTCCAGAGAACAAAACGAGGGCTGCAGGAACAGAAAAGCAACAGGGCTACTTTCCTTCTTGTCGGGAAATTACTCACAGGCCCGAGAGCGTGTCTTGCTGGAGGTAAGGCAGAGCCTTTGCGTTAGAGATGATTTCCTGCGGCAAGGAGGATGGCTCCATGCGCTGGAACATGGGGGCATTTTTCTGCATTGAAGAAAGGAAGAAGCTGAGCCTGTAGGAAATGTGGATGAACATCCAGAGCTTCACCAACCAAGCCCCCACTGCTTGGGAAGGCAACGGCGTGCTCATGTTGCCGTTGGAGACCGAGGATGCACATATGCATGCCTTGTAGTCACCAAAGCCCAACCTGTACCACCATCCTCATCCGTCAGCTGCATCCCGTTCGGTCAGGATGTGGTAGGAAGCAGCAAGCGTGCTCTGAACATCCCCCTCCTGCCTTCGCTGAGCCTCACCTGCTCTTCCAGCTGCTGTCGCTGCTTCTTTGCTTTGCTCTGCTTGTAGTAATCCATGATCATCATGGCTGCATATATTTTGCCAACAGTCAGGTCAGAGGCTGAGAGCATAAGAGGGAAAGAAAGGTGGTAGACACTGTTGTCTTAACAGAAACAGCAGGTGTGAAGGCACCAGCGTGGATCTTGGGAAGAGCCCTGCTGTGGGATACCCTGGTGACCCTCAAACTCTGCTCACCGCTCCAAAAGAGAGATGAACACCCAGACAATCCACATGGAGATAAAATGGATGTCGATGCCTTGAAAGTATCATCATAAACCACCAAGACACGCATCTTCCTCACATCATCGTACGTAACGGAGCAAGTGATGCTGAGCCTCCTGCCCTTATATGCTCCAGAGAGGATTTACAGGAGACTCTGGGTTGGACAGGAGTAGATCCCTGCAAACTCAGTGTTTTTCAAGAGGGTTCCCTGGCAGCCAGGGCAGCCTGTAGCAACACAAACCCTTTTCCGACTTCTCTCCCAGCTGGGGGTGGGTCTGACTGGTCCCCACACCCCTTTGGGAAGAAGCTGCTGCAGGTATGATGGGAACTTGGCGGTGATGACAGACTCTGCAGAGACTCACTTTTTGGCATGGGTACCAACAGGTCAAGCATCTTCTGGGACAAGTGAGGCCAAATGGTCAGGATCTCCTTTTGAAGCTCGGAGTCCAACTGCTGCCAATCTGCACCACCTTAAACAGCAAGGGGAAAAAATGGCCCATATACACCAAGACCTGGCACTAGGGTCCAACCAAAAACACCCCTTTCCCATCCTGAAGTGAGATTCATGAGCAGCAACCAGCTCTCTGGGCTGGGGGAGCCATCTTGCATCAGCGAGCCCGGTCTCCTGGTCTTGCAGGGAAACATTCCTACCACCCCTTCCATATGTGCCTCCGTCTCCCCATCCCCTGCCCTCCCACTCAAAGCTGCCAACTTCAAGCTCGCCTTAGGTCTGTCTCTGCGGCTCCAATCCTACTCCAGCCCACACACACCTGCTGCTGCCCCACTTTCTGTTTTCTGGCAAGCGGATCATGTGCTGGTGAAGGAGCAGCTCCACTTGGTTGAAATCCTTAAATACTCAGTCATGCTGTGCACGGAGGAGAGCAGAGCTCTCTGGCCGGTGGTGAAGGGATTTGCTGAGATGAAGAAGACCCAGGCTCAAAGGGAGCTGTCAGCATGCCAACTGGAGACCCCCGAGCCCGGGGCAACTCCGCTGAGCCAGGATCAAATCTCTGCTTTATCTAGAGGGGCTCGAACCCGTTATTTCAAAAAGCAAGGTGCTTTCTGAACACTGGGTTTTTGCTGGTACCTTGCCCTGGATTGGGTTTTCTTCCAACAGCTGAGTTGTTCCCAGGGGATGTTTTATTGAAAATGGCATGTTTCTGCAGAAAGGTTTTGATCAGATGAATCAGAGCGTTTCCAGCAACAACAACAAAGCAGGTTTTCCTGTTCTGAACATCTTTTTTTCCCTAAGAGAGAGATTTCTGTTCCTCAGCCTTAGGAAGCCAAGTGCATGTGATCTTTTCCCTCCTTGGTTGGGTTTTATACATGGGAAGGAAGCGGAATCCTCTCTCTCCCCCTTTACGCAGTGGACATCAAGCTGTTCCTGCTCTCTGGAAGCAGCTTCTAGTGGAAAAACGGCTACCTCTTTCCTAAAGATTTTTTTCTAGAGAGTGACAGAAGTTTGTCTGTTGAAGGTAACCACCTCCATCCGTATGCCAGGCCCTGGGTGGCCAAGACCAATTTGGCTGTGATGTCCTCAACCTACTCAAAGTGCTGGTTGCTCTGAAACCGCCCTGGCTCTGTCCCCTCTCTACCACATCAACCTTACCTTTGGCAATTTTGATGTCCAAGGCTGTGCGTATCAGCGCCATCAAGGTGGAGGTAAAATGGACCGTCATGTCCTCGGCCACGGGCATGTTCATCAGCACCAGTCTCTGCGCAAGAGAGAGAAGAAAACAGCGGACGGAAAACAATATCGAAAAACACATCGACCGGGCTGGAGGGAAAAAAAATTAAACATTAAACAAAAGGGAAAAAAAAAATTAAAAAATAAAAAGCAACAAAGAGTGTCAAAACAGCACAGCCAAAAAAGAAGGGCAAGGATCACCCCGCCACCCCCCGGCTCCTTCCACCCCAGGACACCGGCTCACTGCCTTCCAGGGCTCCTCCTGCACCCCAGGAATGGCCCCTGAGCCCCCCTCCCCACGGCACCGGGGCTGCCACGGCACCTCCAGGCACTTTTGGGAAGACACACCTGATCCATCAGGGATGCGGGCGTGGGGGATGCTCGGGAAGGGGAGAGGGGGCTCAGGTTTCTGTTCCCGGGGTGGTTTGGCTTTCCGCTCTCAACCCTTCCCACCTGGGGCAGGGGAGAGGAGGGTCCCTAACCTTCAGGGACTTCAGATCAGCTGGATTCCTCTAGCATGCTACATCCTGGCGCTCCCTTTTTGCGTCTTTCAGAGATGAAGTTTGCCAGCACATGCACAGGGTCCAAATTATCCAAGGGTGGGAAAGGTAAGGAGGGGTAGAAAAAGTGCAGAAGGAAAGAGAGAAAGGCAACCAAGGCAGGTTAGACACGCCATGCTCCTTCCCCACCCTGGGCAGGCGGGGTGCAAACTGAAGTGACCAGATCCACTTTCCAGAGAGTATATTTTGCTTTGTGAATACCTTGGGCCATCCCTTCCCTGCCCATTCCTTTTCCTCCGGCTTCTCATGTCCTTTCTCTGCCTTCAAGCCTCCCTTTTTCTTCTGGAGATGTGCACTGGTGGATGCATGCATGCGTGAACAAGCATGTGAGAGCCGGAGAGGGTGGCAGTGTGTTTGCAAGTGTGCAGAAATCCCCCCTTCGCTGGCCCTGAATGCTGCTGAAAGGGCTGCGGGCAGCAGCCCATGGCCAAGAAAAGCTTCCATTTCCTCCAGACTTGGGCAACACATTGCTCTGTAGCTCCAGGTCTTGTCCTAACAGCTGCTGCCCTCGGCGAAGTCACGCAGCTCCCACCCAACGTCCTTCAGGGCTTCCCATACTCCTGCTCCACGCCCGGGGCAGCCGGGAGCGAGCCGACTGCTGGCCACCGCCCCAGGAGGAGCACGGAGGTGATGCTCAGGGACACTTTTTGAAGGCATCTGGCTTTGCTTTGCACAAACCATCCTTGGGATCGCTCGTGATGTTGCACCTGGCTCCCCACACACTACAGAGCTGCTCCTACAGGACATGTCCTTGCTGCCCACCTGCCTCCTGTCTCCGTGGGCTTTAGCCCTGTTTCTGCGCTGGCCGGGACAAGGATGGTTCCAAGCCCAGGGGACAAGCTTGGACTGGGTGAGCTCCTGTGGACATCCCACCCTCCCAACTGTGCTATGGGCTTGCTCCTCACCTCGTCTTCTCCAACCCTCCCACTTCCACACTATTGCCAACCCTGCCCCTCCTCTCCCACTGGGGTCTTCCACCCCAGACCTCCCCAGGCTTGACAGTGACCACGGCAGCGTCACGTGCGTGGGCAGTAGAGACCAGCCAGCATGGCCAGGACTCTTCTGAGCACAGCGGGCTTCCCCAGGAGCGAGCTAAACACATGTTGGATGACACCAACGCCTCCCCAGCTCCCCCCAGCCCCACCTCCCGCAGCTCCCTCGAGCCCCGGCTCCTGCTCGGCTCTAGTCCCCATAGAAGGAAGGGTTGATCTACCTTATAGGCCACTTTGGAAGGACATCTCTTGCCGAGGCCTAGCGGTGGTGACATAAGAGTCAGCATTTCATACATCTCAGTGTAATGGATTCGGCCACTGCTCATGAAGGGGGAAGGGGAGGGAGGGAGATGCAGAGAGAGAGGAGGCATTCCCAGAGAGCAGAAAAACGTACAAACAAAAATAGTACAGGAAAACAGGAGAGAAAAAACAAACGGACAAACAGGAAAAGAACAGGAAACCCGTTAATCAAGGCAAATCATATATGAGAGACTGTCCTGATGTGGATTTATAGCACTGCTCACACAGACCCAGGAATGCTGGCAGAAAGCAACTCATCCCTCTCCTCTCTGCTGCTGGCCTCAAGCGCCTGTCTCGCTAGCAGTCTGGGAGTCCTTCTCTGGTCTCAACCCCTTTCCTAAAGCCCTCCAGCAGCCCCCAGCTTGTCCCACAGGTTCCAGGGCTGTGTGCGAGTGGTATAAATCAGATACACGGCACTCGAGCCATGGGTTATTCGAGATAAAACGGTGGTTTGCACCACAGCACTCTGTGGCCTCCGTAGCGTCTTCCCTCCCGGGGGGGGCCTGGGTATTGCTTTGCATTGCCACCTAACCCATAGCCGGAAGGCTGTGTATCCCCAGCTCATAAGGTCTATGCAATTGGGAGGCAGCGTCTTGCATAGAAGGCAGTGGGCCAGGGTCACTTGTCAAAGGAAGATGCCCAGTTGCTTCCGTCTGGCTCTGCGGACGGACCGCTTTCCCACCATGCACCAGTGCAAAAAGGCATGCTGAATTGGCTGAAAAAAACAAAACCGGGAGGAGAAGTTGTACATGCCATGCTCCCGCCCTGGCTCTCTCCCACATGCGGCTGCAAGTTCCACCAGGTTGGAGTTTAAAGAGTCTCAGCAGAGGCAGCTGTTTGGGCCTTCCAACATTGGGGTTCATTTGGGTTTCCCAAGGGAGCCAGCTAGGACGGACCCCCCACCTCACGCTCCTCTGCTCCGTAAGGACCTGTCTAGTGTTGCTGCAGTGAGGAACGCTACCAAAAAAGGGTCACTCGATGTTGCCTTGAGCCCTCTGCCAGGCTGAGACATTTGGGCTGTGCCTCCCTCTCTCTGCACATCCAGGAGGCCACTCAAGTACATCTCCCAGAGACTCTGGGCTCAGCCACCTCTTCTACCCCTAGTGCCAGGCTCCCGACCTGCACTGCAACGTCCAGGATCGTTAACGGGCAAGGGCAGCCTCGCAACAGCAAAGGCATTGACCCTCACAGCTGGGCTGGGAGGATGCTGCCGGAGAGGAACCCGTCTCAGCCCGGGTGGCCTGGGAGACAGGGCACTGCCAAAAACTTGGGCACTCCTCATGGGATCCTGGCCAATTCCTGGCTAAGAGCAGTGTGAAAAGGGGAGAAGAAGAAATCTCCTCTTCTCAGGGGGCACCGGCTGCTTTGGAAGCAGCCCCCTGGCCAAAGAGGCCCCCCCATCAAGATAAGTCCTGACATTTTGGATGCGAACTAGGGATGGTGACAACCCTCAACAGGAGCTGTTTGGGGTGCAGGCTCAGAACAGGCTGAGCAAGCCGTCCCCTCTAAGACCTGACATATCTAAAGGGGTTGGAGAGAGGATTGATAACAACACGGACGCTACTAAATGGAACGATTAAGAGGAAATATCCAGGTCCAGCAGTCAGTAAGCAGCACCTTGGCAGAGCTGGATGTGCACTGACTTCAGGTATCTGAAGGAAAGCAGATGACTTCCAAACTTTCATGCAAAAGGGAAGCAAGACAGTGATCTTCCACCTACCCTTCCTGGCAGGGGGGATTTTAGTGTACCCAGCACGTCAGACACTGTCTTTCATACTGAAATTCTGCGCACAATGAAGGAGGAACGGATTCCTGTGACAGGAAGAGTTTGCATCAGTAACCAAGAAGGACTGCACAAGAACTGTGCTCTTCTCGTAGACAGGCTGCACACTTTCCTGCTCCTCAGAGCAGAGATCTTAAAGCATTTCGAGCAGCACAGCAGTGCCCAGAAACCACGTCCCCACAGAGTGAAGCACAGGAAGGCACGTGGAATGGCATTCATCTGAACAGGATGGCTCCCAAGGGCTGGTCCTTGAACGGGCACATCGTTGATAGGAGAGCTGGCCATCTGTCCTGTGTCTGGACGGAGATGTGCCCTGTGGCTATGGCACAGGGTGGCCTGTAGAACCACCAGGCACTAATGGCTTGGTCCTGGTGCTCTGAGAGAACGCTGTGAGTGATGGAGGAAGAGATCTGGGAGACATCTGTTGTCCTGTGGTTAGGAAACAAGTACTGTGCCATAGTGGGCTGGTAGGAACAGAGCACCAGAATAGCAAGTGATGTGAGAGTAGATGAAGGAACAGGAGATGTCCACAGGGACAGAACGTCTATGGAGCATTCGTTTGTCCTGTGCCCATCTCAAGGGCTGCTTTTCTGGGGCAAAGGTGATGCTCACCTCCTTGCCTCACTTTTACATGACTGCTAGGACCAGGTGAGTTGAAGAAAGGCAGAGCTAGCCCCAAGAAGCGGAGCTGGCTGCCAGGATGCAGTCCCAGTAAGATGTGATTATAAAACCTGCTCTCCCCAGCACAAGGGCAGAGCTTGCTGGACTTCCATGGGAAGTCTTCCTGCATCAGTGCCCCTTTGTTAGCCCACCTGTGGATGGCCTCGCAGGTAGTGCTTCCATACCATGCTGCACCACTATGCTGCATCCTGACCTTGCCCAAGAACCATCCCTTCCAAAGCAGGTTGTCCACCACTCCATAAACACATTGGTAGTTGTTTCTGCAAGTCATTGTTGTCACATTGCCTGTCAGGATCAGGGTGTGGGCTCCAGGAAGATGAATCTGTACACTGTGAAGTGCAGGGCAGGCTCGCCAAACTGAAAGGTGAGCAAGCTGGGTTGGCATTTTGGGATCTGGACCACGGTGGCAAGATGCAATGACCACATGGGTACTCTTTCTTCATCAATTGCCTTTTGGGAACTGTTCCAGGGCAGTAGGAAACCTTGAAAATCTCTCACATCCTTGAAATACCCTATACACAGGGAGGACGAGACCGAGCTAACACAAGGAAGACATGGGGCTAGTCTCACTCACACAGCAGCAGAACCAGGTCTCACTCTCTCTGCCTCCACCTGCGCTTGTGTTTATCCACCTTCACTGCTCTGTCTATCCCACAGAGCCAGCAGAAAGCCCAGGCTGCAGGAGAGCTCCCTCTTACCAGAAAGCATTACAGGTACCCTTCTGGGCACCAAGTGATCCAGCTTGGGAGAGCGTTTGCCAGTGAAGCCCTGATATCGGTCAACAAAGACTAGAAATTCCTCTTGAAGGTATCTTCTGTCTGCAGGAACCTGAGCAAGTGTCCCCAGCAAAGCTGCCATCCTTTCCTAGGGATGCAATAGAGAAGAGTGGAAAGACTGCAAGAAGGCCCTCCTTGAACAGATGGGCTATCTGAGATTCTTGCAAGAGATCTGCTATCCCTAAATACCTCTTCGTAAGCGAGATGACTGAGCATCCAGGCCTTGTCTTGCTTTTTCTGCTTTACTTCTGGTGGTCTACTCCAAGATTTCAAATGTGTGCATCATCCCCACGACCAGCTGTGGAGGTGACAGACCCGTTCCAGGAACACTGGCTGGAAGAAGCATTTCTGTTGTGGCAGCTACACCATGCTGCACCAAGAAACCCTCTTCCTCTGCACAGCCAAGATCAAGGGCCAGGGGCATCTGAGCTTCCCTCGTACATCTCCTCAGGTGCTGTGAAGGATGCAGAGGGAAGAACAAGCTCTGCAGTTCATCCTTTCATGACACGGACACAGACATAGGTGTTGTGGCACTTCGGAGAAGGAGGCAGGTGCAGGATTTTGCTCAACTGTCACCCCAAAACATAATTTAAAAAACCCCCATGCAAGTCAGAGAGAAACAAGGAGGCCAAATCGCTGCCATGGACTCATGGCCAGCAGCCGGGAGCTTGGCTCAAGCAGAGGGAGAGGAGCTGCTGAGCTCCAGAGATGCGCCCTGATGCCACCACCTCCCAAGCAGGTCCAGCAAGCTATGGGCAAGACCAGCAAGAATTCTGCTCCCCAGAGACATGGCCTTTTGTCATCCAAGTGCCACACCTGAGGAAGAATCTGTTGGGGACAGCACGGCAGCCCCCGGGGAAAGGGGTCACCCTGGCCTCCCCGTCCTCCCCCTGGTTCTCACTCTCCAGAACAGCGGCAAAGCCTCCAACATCCTCCTGCCTTTGCTCCCCCCTTCCCTCCCCAGGCGCAAGCCACCCCTAAC